TTCTCTGGAGCTCTGGTGGCCCCAGCTTGGCTATTGGTGCTTTTTATTGTTGTAAATTGGTTGATTTGTGGGAGAGAGTGATGCTGGGGACCGTCTATTCTGCCATCTTGACTGGAAGCCAAAATGTTCCCTTTTTATATTTTCTGTAAGACACTGTGTCAAATTGATGTTAATTCTTTTAATATTTGATGGTATTGTCCAATAAAACCATCTGAGCCTGGAGATTTCATTTTTGGGAGTTTTAAAATTAAACTTTAAAAGGCTATTCAGGTCATTTATTTCATACTGTATGACTTGTAGTAGATTGTGTTTTTTTTAATTGGCCTATTTTGTGTAAGTTGCCAAATTTTGTGTATAGAGCTTTTTTATAGTATTTTCATATTAACCTTTTGATATCTGCAGGATCTGTAGTGAAATCTGTAGTTTTAATCCTAATATTGGTAATTGTATCTTTTTTCTGTTTTTCTTTGTGAGACTTACTAGAAGTTTACCAATTTTATTCATCTCTTCAGAGAACCAACTCTTGGTTTATTTATTTTTCTCTATTGTTTTCTTGTTTTAAATTTTATTGATTTGTGCTCTTATGTTTATTATTTCCTTCCTTCTGCTTGCTTTGGGTTTATCTTGCTCTTCTTTTTCTTTGTTATGGAGGTGAGAGCTTAGTTTATTGATTTGTATGCATTTGGTGTTATAGATTTCCCTCTCAGTACTGTTTATTTGTGGTTCTAAAGTGTTATAATGTTTTAATATGTTTTATTTTCTTTTAAATTCAGTTTCATGTAATTTTTGATTTCCCTGAGGCTTCCTCTTTGACTCATGGATTATTTAGAAGTGTATTTAGTTTCCAAGTGTTTGAAGACTATCCTGATATTGAGTTCTTGTGTTATTCCACTGTGGTTGGAAAAACATTCTGTATGATTTAAATTTTAAGAAATTTATTGAGGTTTGTTTTATGGCCCAGGATATAGTCTATCTTGGTATATATCCCATGGGAACTTGAAAAGAATGTGTATTCTGTTGTTGTGGGGCAGCAATTGGTGATTAGATCATGTTGGTTTGTGTTGTTTGTGAGTTCTATATGCTTGCTGATTTTTTTGATTAGTTCTAACAATTATTGAGAGAAGAGTGTTAAAGTCTGCAACTGCAATTGTGAATTTATATATTTGTCCTTTCAGTTCTATCAGTTTGGGGCTCACATATTTTTTACCTCTTTTTTTTTGGTAATGCTTTTTAGGATATCTATGTATTCTTAGTAGATTTACTCTTTTATCTTTTTGTAGTGACCCTGTCTGTCTTTGGCAATTTTCTTTGCTCCGAAATCTGATTTTTCTGATATTAATATAGCCACTGCTCATTTCCTTTGATGAATATTTTTGTGATTTTTTTTCTCATGAGTTTACTTTCAAACTTCCTATACTGTTATGTTTGAAGTGAGTTTCTTGCAGACAGCATATGGTCATAATTTCTAATCCTTTTGCCAGTCTCTGTCTTTAAAGCGATGTATTTAGATCATTTGCATTTAATATAATTACCGATATGCTTAAGTCTGCCATTTCTCTATTTTCTGTTTTCTTGCTTACTATGGGTTATTTGTTTTACAATTACGTTTTGATTTATCTCTAATGTTTATGAGTATGTGTCTTTGTATAGCTGTTTTGGTGGTTGCTGCAGGTATTCCATTATACACATATAGCTTAGACTACTGGTGTCATTTTACCAGTTTGAGTGATGTATAGAAACTTTGCATAACTTTATGTCTCTTTACCCTTCTCAATTTGTATTATAATTGCTTTAAGTATTTCTTCTGCATACGTTTAGAACCACATCAGACAGTTTTGCTTCTATTTTGAAGTTTTGCTTCAATTATCAGGAGGAAAAGGAAAGCTTATTGTATTTACCCATTTTTTTATTTACCATGTTCTTTCTATCTTTCTGATGTTCTAAGGTTTCTTCTTTTATATTCTCCTCTCTGTTTAGAGATTGTTTATTTCACCATTCTTTTAGAGTAGGTCTTCTGGTGACACATTCTCTTAGTTTCCTTTCATTTGAGGATGTCTTGATTTCTTCATTTCTGAGGGATATTTTTATAGACTACAGTATTCTGGACAGACAGCTTTTTCTTTGATCACATGAAAAATAGTGTACCGCTTCTTTTTGGCTTCCATGGTTACTGCTGAAAAATACACTGCCATTCTAATTTTTTTTCATGTTCTTACTGTGTTGATTTTTTCTTTGTTTTTAGTTTTCAGAAGATTAATTA